TGGCTCGATACCCTCATCCTCCATACGGGAGCTTATCTTCACCCACTTCCTTTGCAGTCGAGTAGGTAGGCGTCTTGCTATTACTTCTAGGATAAAACCCGAGTTGAGGTCACTCATTCAATTCATCAAAATCAATGCATTCTTGTAAGTCAACAGATTATCCAAAAACTCGGTGAGTGCCTTGGAGTCATCTCGTAAATGACCACCATTGCCCTTAACAGCCTCAAATAATTTCCCTGTAATCGTCGAGGGTCTTCCAAACCTTTGACGTAGTATGCACATAGCCTCGTAGTAGCCCTCTTTTGGCTTCATAAACCTACAGCACTGTATAGCTCTTGAAGCAACTCCAGTGCAGTACCTCATCAAAAACATTAACTTCAATTCATAATTTAATAGAAAACTACTCAGTATGATCTCAAACTCCTTTACAAATTGTAAATAATCAACTGGGTTTCCGTCGAAACACCGTGGTTCGAATTCAGGGAGTTTGATGTTCCTATTATTCCTACACGGCGAAACAGTAACATCAACCATGTCATGTTTAACATCAGACACATCGTTACAATTAACAGACAAGTCACCATGATTTACTTTCCTGTTTGCATCCAAGACGCTCTGTCCCTTCTTTGACCGAGGCATTTTTGAACTTGACCCAATCGCAAAAAAGTTCCAGATATTGCTTTTTCAAAGAGGACTTGACGGACACCAGGAAAGATGATCGGTGACTATCCATACTGTCACCAACTATCTGAATCCGTCTGAATCATTTTCAGCTGTCGGACACTGGCTTCACCGTCAGAAACTGTCCGCCACGTCTCATAAACCGTAAATGCCCAGCTCTTGCTGCACTCGGGCTCACGCTGTTCCTTGAAGTTTCTCAGAAACGCTTAGTAATAACGGACGAAAAAATCAAAACACCAATTGGCGACTCGAGGATTCTTTGTTGCAACACCAACATACAAACACTGTTACAACTAAGGTCTGTGAACAAATATTACAATAATAAATCACAATATTACTTCTGACGGTTCATTGCTGACTTCTTTGTGAACAGCGACCGATGAGACGATGACTGTCGTATTGATACCTCCGCGAAAATTGGGGAGGATGGTTTTGAGCAAACAACCATGAATTGATCGTCCAATCTTCAACTTCATTGTCAGGTGCTATGGTCACGTTGCATTCTGCAAGAGTCATTCTAGCAAGTGGAGATTGTGTTGCAAGTGGACGCCTTTATCTGGAAGGCGCAGGTCGTCATTGATATGTGAGTTTTTGCTGTGGGTACGCTTGTGTAATGTTGGCTTTTCTGTTTATTTTCCATTTCAGCTCTGTCCGTGTGACCCAGGTTCTCGCAATGGCATCCAAGTCAACGTGTATTGATCGTGAAGGAAAAAAGAGATGGATCCGTATTTTGCCGGGGAGTGTCAATGCAGTTGAAGATTGAACGATCAATTCATGGTTGTTTGCTCAAAACCATCCTCCCCAATTTTCGCGAAGGCATCAATACGACAGTCATCGTCTCATCGGTCGCTGTTCACAAAGAAGTCAGCAATGAACCGTCAATAATAATATTGTGATTTATTATTGTAATATTTGTTCACAGACCTTAGTTGTAAAACTGAGTTGTACACTGGCTATATGTTGGTGTTAAAGTGAAGAATTTTCTGGTCGCCAATCTATGTTCTGGATTTTTCGTCCGTTAATACTTAGCGTTTCTCTAAATCTTCGACGGACAGGTAGAGCCCCAGCGTAACCTGAGCTGGGCATTAATGGTTTCCGAGACGTGGCCGACACACAGTTTTGTATTGTGTTGGACTTTTTATGATTCAGATGGTATGCTTTATTACGGCTACCTTTTCACATTTTAGTATGTGCTGTCACTGTACATTGTGAACAACGAGCAACTTTGTAATGAGAAGCAGAGGTGAACATTTGGAAAGGCGCGAAGTAAAGACGAAATTGCATGACCCCTCAAAATACACATGTCAAAATATTGAGGGAACAATTACACCCTGCCTAAGAGTTAAGCCGTATGATTGTTGACAGATTGTCAATAGGTTTCATGTAAGTAAATACATTCTAAATTTCTTCAGTGTCGGTTTGTATATTTTAATAATCCTCAATCATTTTACCTTCAGTTTTGGCATTTTATTTGTCTTCTGTATGATGCCGTAGAGTTGAATCTAGATATCTTCTGAGCAAACTCGGCCTATAATTTTACCACACTGAAAGTAGCAGCCTGAATTAGTTTTTCATCATCTGTCTTTAGCAGTCAACCGACTGAGCTACTTTCCTGATTCAGATACTAAGGTTATAATTTTAATCTAATGTGAGAAACTGTTCTGCTGATTATGATTTACCCAGACGTTGCACGCAACTAGCTATATTATCTACGTAGACAGCATCTTAATACTCTGATTTTACGTTCGTGAATTGGGTCATCACGTCATCACATGCTGTGCAATTTTCTGATTTCGTTAGTTTTTCACAGTTACAGATTATGTGTGTGTAACAACAGAAGACAAAGGCCGGCAACAGATCGTTTTATTACGGAAATTTACACGTATTCATATATATTTCCTGTACATTATTATAGCTTTTGCAAGTAGACAAACGCGGGCTTCTGATTGGTTGTTTTGGGTAATTTCGAAGAGTGGAGCTATCTATCTGCGAATCATATTTGCCCACGTTAAGTCTGTTGTAATTGTTTGTTGAATCAGCCTTGCTCATATATTCTCACGGCCAATATTAGTGACCTAGACATTGACGTAGATTAATGTCCACCAATTGACCAGCAGCCTGCTCTCACCACATGTGGAGGTTCAACAGTCTGAATTAAAAAGCTGTCTGGAGTACAGAAACATTCTTTTCTGGTCTTCATCATTATGTTTTTGCAATAGACGCTGGTTTTCAAACTGAAAAGCATGTCACACCAATTTATCCTCTTTTGCAACTTACAGGTAGTTCACGTGTGTCGAAGTTTAATGCAATGATATGACAGAAAGCTCATTTTAAAAAGATGGAAAAATTAGCAAGATATCATGTACCCTGTATATATAATCTATCACTGTCATGTGTAATAGGAATTCTGACCACATTATATGCACTATACCTGCACAGGAATCAACAGGGCATGTAAGATTCACCTCGCAGTTGTTTGGGATCCAATTGAGAGCAGAATTTTTTGACAGCAATAAACGTCTCCCTACTAATATGTGTGTATTTAATTATAATGCCTGTATACTGGAATCCACTTTCTGAGTTAGTTACGTATATGAGTGACAAACCACAGCTGCATTAAATAACTGATACACAATGAGTAATTTATACGTGTTGACGTCATGCATTGAAACTTATTTAACATTCACTGATATTTTCTGCACCAAAACCTGCATTGAAATCAGTGCACTTCTAAAATCAGCCTTAGTTTATTAAGTTAAAATATCACCAGAGAGGCAGGAAATTTCTAAATTATTACACACTTATGACCTCGCAATAAACGTAAGTCAAAAATAATTTGACAGGCTTTATTTACAAATGCATTTACTAGTTAAAATTTGACTGAAAGACGAGGTTTACTGCAAGACCACAAGCTTACTGCAATATATATGTGGTTACGAAATTCTAGGTAAATATTGTTTTACTAAGTATATTGGACATTGGGTCAATGGCACATTTTCGCATTTTGCGTTACTGTAAATGCTTAACTCCTACACAAGCTGGCAGCTGAAGTGGTTTTTCTACCGGGATTCACCGTGATTCCCCTTTCGCGGTTAGTCTAAGTAAATAAGGTTGTTTATAAACTATAGCAGCTCGAAACTAAATGAGTAACAGCTGGTTTCAGTAAAGACGAATACAATTTTTATAAAGGTATACCTTGATGAAAGAGTTAAACAAGTGTTTAACTCTTATAGTTTGATGACGTTGTACTTCTGGGAGAAGAAAACAAGCTGTCCGATCGCATTTTTGTACATAAGTTCACATAGAAATATTATGCAACTAAACATGGCAACTAAGAAGTGTATAAAAGATAATTATTTTCAACTTGTTATAAGAGTTTTAAGATGTGAATTTAGTTTATGAGGAGGTTAGAAAAAAGTTACATTTGGTCCTGATCTCTAAATTGGGAAAAGCACTGTGTGCTCTGCGGCAAGAAAACAAAACAATGCATCGATCAGAAGCATTGTCTACTTTATTTCATGTTGTAAGATTGACTGAACATAATGCTACACTTTTCTTGATCTTCTCGTGTCCATAATCATATATTGTCTTTGTTTTTGTGCCGCATTTCTGTTTGCGTTGCATCGAGTTTGTATGCAGTAAATATAAGCTGCTCTTAGTGTCATCGTTTATTAAGCTATTTTTCTGGTAAAATTTGCTATTTTTAGCTAAACATGTTTATGAAGACTATTTCTGACATTTTTAGTATAATGAGTGTAGCGATTGATTCTGTTAGGATGCACTTAGAAAACGGCGATACCGCTTATTTAATAAAATGGCTGTGGTATTAGGAATATTTACACTTTATTCACTGACTGCTTACCGTTCCACAGTTTTTTTCGCAACTATTTTATGCATAACTTGACCAAATCATGAGGTCAAATTGTGTCATTCGTTGAAATCAATATATTAAAAAAAATAAAACCAGTTTTTGACTCTTCTGTAGAGTTCATCTACCTCAGCAACGGTGTTTATAAAAATTTTTAGGTAAAGATGTCTCAGTCGGTTTAAGAAAATAAATAACCGATTGAGATGAGGTCATAAGGTTATCTGTCGCGTACAAACATTTCCTGTCTAATCTGTCTATGTGTGTTTCCTTTGTTGATATTGCTTAAAGTTATTCTAAAATAGAAGAAGATTAAGGATTGTGTAAATGAAATCTTAATCGCCCCTTTGTATTTTGGATTGCATAAACAAAATGACTAATAAGATGTTATTTTTATTATTGTTCTTCAGAATGTAGCACACTTACAAAAAGAATCAAACGTGTAGCAAGAATTATGTCTATTTTTGTCACCATTCCAAGTTTAGTCGAGAATATGAACGTGTTATGCCAGCGGTTAGAAAATTATTTTGGCGTTTCCGTTTCTTTATTGCAAGATAAACTAAAACTGTGTGGAACTCCAGACAAACTGAATGCAGCTCAAGTATGTGTTGTTACTTCTTAGGGATTATGATGTTTTCCTTTTTTTCTTAAAAAAAATATTAGGACTACGCACTTCGGTTTATCAGTCCAGAATCGGTTTTAGTAATAATATTGACTTCAGCTGAATGTTTGGAGCTATTCAGTTGTAATTCACCACTAATTCGTCATTTCGAATCAACATATAACATTATTCTTATCAAAAATAATAACGCACTGATAGTTAAGGGAAGTGCACATGCGAACAAGCGATTTTCAATGGTTATAAAATCATTAGAATCATTTTCAAAGACCAAATGCACATATTTAAGTAATTTAAAAGTTTCAGTTTTGACAACATTGTGTGAAAAATACTCATTGAAATTTGATGATCTACAGTGTTCAGATTCAATGAAACTTGCGCTTTTGGATTACTTTACTTCACTGGAGAAACCTGAAGTGATGACTAATGGTTGTTCTGTTGATTCTCCAGCTGAAAGAGTACATTTTGTCGAAGCTTATCGTAATCCAGGCAATAATAAACCAGATATTAATCCAAGTAAGTGCCTCGTTGAATTCGCTTATTGCCTGTGTAGTGTTTTTCCATAAAAGTTTGGCAGATAATTAAAGAAAACTTATACTCATACTTTTCTAAACACTGAAAGCAATTCGTAACTGGCTCAGAAATCTTGTAGAGAAATTTCCATCAAATCATTTAATGACTATTGACATTGGAACTGCATGCTGAAGACAGTCGGTTAAAGTAAAGAAGATTAATATAAAAGTGGTGGATGGTGGCTAGCAGTGGAATCCAGGATGCGCATTCCTATTTGGGACTCGTCAGCCGGATGTACCTGCATTTCTCAGTGAGTGATGATGTTCCCACTGAGGCTCGAACCCAGTGCCCATAGTTTCAAACGCCAAAGCATTATCCACTAGACTTTGGGCCACGAGAGCCACCTCTTGTGCAACGGGTCATATATTAATTATTGAATTGAAATTTTGATTTTCCCGTCGATTGATTCAATAAGGAAAATTAAACTTATAATCTCTTTAGTTGAAAGTTCACTGAATTGTGCAACATATCATGACTCAATCAACAGTAATGTAGGCATTCTTTTCAGCCTTGTTCCGCAGTTTTTATAACTATCCAATTGTTACGTGTTCTCTCAACACGCCAATACAGGAGTTAATATGACCAAGTATAATAATAGTATTTATTTCAGTGTAGATGTCGCAAACCAGCATTAGAGAATTATTCGAAACCACACGCCACTGGACATCAGTGTCGTCCCAGCTTGAGACTTCATCAGTGTGTTGGCGTTGGTATGTGAGGAAACCTACATTAAAATTAATACAAATCCCTAAAAAACTTATAGTCTCAATAATATTTGTATCCGTAGACGCTCATCTTCATTTATTATTTATTCTTCTTATACGACAGATCCCTATTTTACTCTGTTCCTAGTTGTCATTTTCATCACCACGATTGCCTACAGGCTTTCATTTCCTCTTTACCACATGATCTCCTTCACAATACACTTAGACATGCATCGTGAGCAGGATGTTACTCATTTTATTCTCTCCTGTTGAATTTCAACTGAAAGGCAGCACCACTTCAGCTGTCAGTTATCAGCTGATAAACATACTCCTGAATGTCAATTTTGTTAGTGTACGTTTGAGCAGCTTTCGCTTCTCATCATCATTTTCAGAGTTCTCTTGAAAACGTTTTGTTGCATCAGTCAGTTTGGATGAAGCAATTAACCTTTGGTATCAGGTTATCAATAGTCTTTACCGTTGTTTCTGCAATTGACTAGATATTATACCAGGCTTTCTCAGGATGAGTCTTATCAGTCTCGAATAAGCGTTTAACACAAAGATTGCTTTCTCAGCGAGTTGATGGTGTATTTGCTTTTCAAATCTTCCTTTATCTTTTCATCAGTGCGTCAGTGGCACAGTGGTTATGACGCTCAACGATCATGCACATGGTCCGGGGTTCGGTGGCCTGGCGATCACACCTGATATCTATAGTCCGTCTGGAAAATTTGGGCTTTCGATATCACATGCTGAAAATTCCGTACATGTACCCAAAATACGGTGTGGAATCATGCTGTAATCAAAAATAGTAATAACAATGATAAAAGACAATAATAAACCATTCCTTAATTTTTGTTTTCTTAAATTTGTAGATGATATAACATCCAACTCATCTTCCTCAGTGCATAAATCTCCCTTTGTTGAAACCCGATTGAGACCTATCATAATTGATGGGAGTAATGTGGGTTTTGCGTAAGTAACAGTAAATTATTAAATATTGTTCTTATTAATTATGCCAAAAGTGTTTCTAATTTGTTAGTTGATGTAATGAGTTTATATATTCATATATTCATATATATATATATATATATATATATATATATATATATTCGACATAACACTGCACCGATGTGCACCAGTTCGAGTCACCACACTCCCTCCTTGTAATACACAAAGCAAGAGAAGAGAGTAGAAGAAATGCATAATAGAGACAGTAAACAGAGGTGTGAGACAAAGAAATAGTAATAACGAAGAGCGATATAGTTTCATTTGAAATCATAAGTCACAAGGAGTGGATGCATCTGCACCAGCCATTGAGAACGATTTTGAGCCATATCACCAATTGTCACGAGCCACTGGTTTTTACCGTCCCGAGGACCCCAACCAGGAAGTCTACACCTTCCTACGTGGCTGACTTAAACTAACTGTTGGAGATTTCATTGACTGGTGCCATGTTTTGGTTTGATCGCCACCAGCTCTTTTCCAGTCTGATCCTATGTCAACTAACATTGCCCGTTGTCGAGGAAGGCGATGACTAGTCATGCATGAGTAGCACATGTCCTAACCATCTCAGTCGATGTAATTTCACAGCCTCGTCGATTGATTTCCTCTCCCACCTACCTAGCACTCCACCGAGAACTAATCTCAATATTGCTCACCTTATTATACCACTTCACACGGGATATAGAGCGCAGGCACCTATGATTAAAGACAGCTGGCCAACCTTTTCATGTCTTCCACTCTCAATGGCAAGGTCTCACAACTAGCCATAAAGGAGGATGGAGCGGACTGATGAGCATTACACACGTCCTTTGGCCGATAACCAGCCGGATATCACGTCTACGCCAGAGACGGCGTAAACTGGCGGGTATATGCGAAACTAGCCCTCTGTATCCATTCTGAGATTTCGTCAGAAATCAACCCGTTGGCACTGGCTGATGGTACTTCCCAAATAAGTGAAGTGGTCAACGTGCTCTACCACTTCACTCCCTATTTCTAAACTAGGAGTCAGTGTAGTCCAGTCCAGTCCTGTGGCATCATCTTACATTCGGCGGGAGCAGACTGCATGCCGAACATACGTAGATTGCAGCTCAAGGTGTTCAGAAGACTCTGCATTTTGTCAGCATCTTTACCCAGCTGGGAAAACTATATAATCCGCATATTCTAAGTCAACGAGATTATTCCCTGGTAGCAAGTCAATCCCTGATTCGCTGAAGTGAATTAGGGTCAAGTCCATTAGTACATCTATGATGAAGTTGAATAGAAATGGGGATAATGGGCATCCTTGATGGACACCACTAGTCGTCACCACTTCAGAATACAACTCGCCATGAGCCCTCACCAGGCTTCATGAGTTCGAGTAGAGTGCCTTAATCAGTGGAATGTATTTTATCGACATTCCCTTTACAGCTAAGCATTGACAGAGTATTTCTAGGTCGACAGAATCGAATTCCGCCTTTAGGTCAAGAAATATAATGATTGTTGGACGTTGATAAGAATGTCTATGTTCTAGAATCTGTCGGAGGGTGAAGATATGATCAATATACCCTCTTCCTGGTCTAAAGCCTGCCTGGCTCTCTCGTGTTTGTGCCTCCCGAGCACCACTCAGTCTACGCATGATTATTGAGCCTAGGACTTTAGATACTATATTAGTCAAGCTAATCCCTCTGTGATTATCACAGGAAAACTTGTCTCCCCTCTTGTATATGGGGTTAATCAGTGACTTACACCAACCCGACGGGACTTCCTCTGACTTCCAGACGTTGCCTAGTACCTCAGTTAAAGCAGACAGTTAACTGTCTCCACCGTACTTAAATACCTCTGGAGTCATTCAGACAGGCCCAGCTGCGTTGGTTTGTTTCAGATTAGTGACAGCTTTAGTAACCTCATTTAAGGACGGAGGACCTGTATCTATATCCCATTCAGGAAGGTGTTGGATGTTCGGCAGGTTGAGCGTGGCTAAAGGCCAAATAAATTTCTCCTCAAAGTGTTATTTCCAGTCGTCTATCCTGGGAGCTAATTATGGTGCCATTTTTCTCAGAGATTGTTTCACTTATCATTTACCACCTGTTTCATTGATAAGCCTAAATAGTTGTCTGGTGTTACCAATCGCCGATGCCTTTTCCATCTCTTTCGCTCTTGTCGCCCACCACTGTTAACGATCGTTGAGAAGACTTCTTGTTAGTTTCCGTTTGAGTAGCTTTCGTTCCTCATCATAATCGGAACTTCCAAAAGCACACGAAGCCTTTTTGAGTATATATATACATATGTATGATTGATGAAGGTCGGTTCGATGGTCCTTTGAGGAAGTGATCAGCCCAATGTTCCCTCTGTTTCATCTCTTTGGTATTTAGATTACTCTCGCTAAGTTTCATTGGCTTCATCCGTGTTGATCTCTTCTCGGATAACGACCTAGTTATTCGATACACTGTTGCGAGATCTTTCCTACTTACAGCTTGCGTCTCAGGAAAGTCTTTGTGATTTTAGATGCGCCATGAAACAATCAGCGAGCAATGGGCCAGGTTGAGAGATCATTGTCATTCCATCTTTCTGTCGGTATTAAATATATCAAAGAGCGCTGATATTGAGGTAGGTTCACATTAAAAGTCTAGTGTTTATTCAAGAGTCAATCATACCTACAGAGAGATTAAGTAACACTTATTCCTCTACTTTACTCCCATTACTTGCTGATTGCTTTATGGTGTAATTGAAACCGAACACCCACCAATCGACCATCAGTCAGTTCAAAGTTTACAAGCCATTATCATTATTTTATTCTTTCGCATTCTGAGTGGAACGTAGGACTTTCAAAGTAAGTTCTGACCTTGTAACCAGAAGATCCTGGGTTCCAACCCCGATGGGTGTGTACTGATGAAGAGTCCCAAAACTAGGACGAAAGAGATAGGTCTCTACTAAGAGCAGTTTACCGTAAGTCAAAATTGAATAGACAGCTGACAAGCTTTTACAGTTTTCAGAAGTTAGTTTATAGGCATTTGATTTGTTTCAAGTTTACCCACGGATTGATGTCATTTGGAGAATTATTGAAAACCTGCAGTGAGTACTAAAAACTGTTTCAACCTAGTTTGGGACTTATCGGCAGCAATACGCATACACGGGAGTTTAAACCCACGACCTACCGGTCACAAAGCAAGCCCGTAGACGATTCAGGCACTGGGACCCAACTCTATGGTTCATGAATTCTAACTCCCACCAATTTGTTTTACAGTCTTATTCTGGTAAGCAGAAAAATAAATTTCATCGCCTATCTTGCCACGAGCATCTATCGCATTTGCGCCAAAGATACATTGAGTAGGGAATCAGAGTCCCACAGAAACACTGTCATTAAGGACGCATACCGAATGCTCTTCACCAGTTAATATTTAGAGGAAAAGACCTATGCTTCAAAAAACCTGTACTTGCCTCCCAAACTTTTTTATCGCATATCTCACTGAGTTTTTGAAGTATCTGGAGGCAAAATCTAGCACACCATGTCTGCGGAAGTCTTTTTGTGAATCATTATGTATACATCCTTAGAGAAGTGTTAAAATTGCTTGATAGGATTGATAACTTTGAGAGGTTGTGGTGAGGGCTGGCTGCTAGCCAAATTGGTAGACAGTAATTTACGACAATAGTTTACGTCCCCAATATTGGTCGTCAGAAAAATAGGAACAAAGACTAATTCGACAACCAATCACAGCAGACTTTGCGTAGGCGGATACAGCATGCAGATAGATAATCTGCACTTCAAGAAACAGTCACAGTGAGAAACCACCAGTTAGAAGACTGTATCTGTTTGCTTACTATAATCTACAATAATGTACATGAAAATCTAAATATCTGTTGATTTCCTAAATAAGTGATCTTTTGCATGGCCTTTGCCTTCTGTTATAACAAGGTGGACCGCTCGACTTGTGTGTATCGATGAATAGAGTAGTCAGTAGCATAGATATAATGCATTTAGCTTGTATACTGACTAGGCTCTGAGCCAATGAATTTCAATGCTGCCTTGCATTCCACCTATTTCAGCCTTAACATTAGCTGTCAGACAATAAGGTTGTGTGTGTGTTTGCATGGGTGTATATGTGGCTCGCAGCATTGAACATGGATGAGTTGTTTTGCTTGATTGAATTCTTGTAATCTTGTAATTACATTATAGTATAAATTAAACTACAAAGTTTTAAAAAGTCTGTCTAATCAAATAATAATAATACCTAATAAATTTCAGACGACTACTGAGACTTTCTTTTCCTTTCTTTTGGTAATGTGCTATTTTGTAACTTTTGTTTCTGATAATTCCACTAGTGACCATCGACTTCATCTGTTAATCTTTTATAGGAAGTTACATGATTGTAGGGTATACTATCTCAAAAACTACGGGAACTGCTACTCTATTGCACAATGAATGTGCAGTTTAAGTTTAACAATCAATATTGCCGTCAAATGGAGGACTTAGCAATAGGTCCTCCTTTTAGTCGACATGTTTTATGGTGAAATCAGATAAACAGCCCACTCAAAAAATGTAATCAACGAACTCTCGTTCTACTGTAGGTATATGGATGATACTTTATTTTGTCTGCCATAAGAATAAAATCAATGATGAGGTCCTTCTCAAAATGTTCACAGTAAGGCCCACGCTCAAATTGGGTTCACACACGAAAAGGAGAAAGATAGAACCTTATCATTTCTCAATTTCCTGCTAACAAGAAAGCAAGATGGCAGTCAGTATTAAGCAGAGTATTTTCTAGAAGAAGTCAGGGGTTGGTCAGTGCATCTATTTCGGATAATTTCTTCCTCCTTTTTGCATACAAATGAAATCTCATCAGTTAGCACCCTGACGTCTCATGCTTGGAGAATCTGCACAAGCGATACTCTAGACAATGAAGTAAAGAAAATGGAAAACTTATTATATGAGAACGGATACCTCGAAAAAATTGTTAGAGTTTCCATTAGAGAGATCAGACAGTAAGAAATCCCTACAAATGGTGCAAAAGAAACACATATACACGAATTCAGCCGTTTAAAGGAGACGCAGCAACTCAATTGCTGGCGTCGAAACTTCTAAAAATAATAGCTAAAACATTCTCTGCTGCTGCAACATTCTGTTTCCAACTCGCCAGTCGGTGTGTAATCCCAACTCAGGTGAAGGATAAGCTACTGAGTTTGGCCACCTAATCAGTGTGCATTTATAAATTTAATTGTTTATGTGTAGACATTTGCATAGGTAGAACGTCTCGGTAAGCCCACCGTCGCTAGTCAGGTAAATGAGTTGTAAAGTCAATCTTAAGTTCCATACTGGCACACCTAGTGGATACATACCACAAGATTGACAAAAAATTGAGCTTTTAAAATTCTATACAAGGTGCCATCTCATATTATTGGGTTGGTACGTCTTCGGTTGCTAAGCCTAGCTCAGGCAGTTGCCATGACGACTTTTCAACCAAATTTCTGTTGTGTTCAAAAGAAGCTTGTTCTATCTGTCTCCCTCTCTTCGCCTTCACCACCCACCTGAAATACTTATCTCTCCCGGTGACACCGGATAACTGTAGATATTTTCTTATTATTTTATTTGTAATGCTGACTGTATTAGCAATACCACACTGTGCTGTACGTTGTGCATACTAATCTCGGTCTCAATGTATTATTATATTATCTAATCGCCGTGTGACAGCAGTTATTTTCCCCTCTACCCCTACTAGTATGCGCATTCTACCCAAGCTATACACTTACCATTGCCTAGATGATATAAACACTTGAATGAATTTTTCCTTGTTATTATTACTGATATTATGATCCCCTTAAATGTTATCCATTAGTTCACATCCCTGAACTCTGATCCTTCATATATTGTTAACGATATTGGTTCAAATGCCTATGACTAATATTTCGTCACTAGGTAAATGCAATAAGCCTGATGAGAATATACCGATCTGTTTGCTTAAACCTTGCTCTATATAATACCTCATTAGTTTGTTTATTGGATATGTCACACAGTAAAACGGTATTATTTTTCTAGATGATTATCACACAAATGGAAAAGAAGAAAAAGAACCGTAGAAATCGAATGTCAAAGTTATAGATAGGCCTGTGAACAATAATTTGTGTTCGAAATGTTATCCAGTTATATAATACTGTTTCATAATTCATGGATAATACCCATCCAGACATTATTGAAAACAAAACACGTATATCAGCGAAGAGTCTCTTTTCGGAGGCGAATTCATTTTCTTAGCTGTACAATCGCAAATAGATAGGAGTTACTTTTCATGCATGTGTACATTAGAATTTTTCAAACAAAATTACACTTGATTATGCTTATTTTAACTAAAAAGGTGAAGATTGGTAATACAAGTCAAGAAAATTAAGTGTTAATGGAAGTAGGGTAGTAACAAAGGTGATGAGTTGTCACAAACATTTGTTAAAAAGAAGTTATGTAATAATTTGAATAGTTTGATGAGTGAGTTTTACTCAGGATACACATAGGAACAAAGTAGATAATACGAAATTATGTAAGAGTTCTAATTGAATAGAAGAGTTATAAGCAGTTAAAGAACAGGCGAAGAAACAAAATTAAGTCATCAAAATCAAAAACTCAAATCAAACAAAAAAAGTTGTTACCATGACAGTAGAAGTGGTTGGGTAATCTTCTTTTGTATGCACAGATCCGGTTTTTCTATGTGAATTGCCAGAGCTTCAGCGATACAAAGAAGACGAAACCGTATTGCCTTTGATAAGTTATTCTTGACTCTGTAGATTACTTTGAAGGCGGCGTTTGTTGAAATGGAATGATCAGTGTTAACCAGGTGTTCAATTATCGCACTCCTTATTGCACCACTACTGCCTTTTCGCAACCATGCTGGCTGGATAGTGTTCTTGAGTCCTCTTGGGCAGGGTGAACGTCGAACGACCGATATACCTTTCTCCACAGCAGCAGGTGAACTGATTTATGCACATAGAAGTGGTCAGATGCGGGATCTTGTCCTCGAGGCTTCTGCAGATCAGTGGGCGACTGGAGAACACTATTCTTAGCTTTGCTGCAAAGAATGTTCTTCTCAGAGATGATGTGATCCTTCTCTTGAGAATATCGCTTGCTACATCTCCCTTGAGATCTAAGTTCATGTAGTTTCTTTTTAGACGCAATTAAAGTTTCGTTTCTCCGAATTCGTGGTTTGATATTTTTGTCGATGAATCTTATTGGGTATCCATTTTGGATGAAGATTTCTCTCAGAACGTCGACATTACAGAGGAGTCAGATGGGGTTGACAAGTGATTGAATTCAATTCCGCTTTTGTTGAATGGGTATCCAGCTATAGAAGCTTGTTAGTTGACCATTCCACGTAGGTTTTCTATGGACTGATCTCCTTAGGCTCCTATCAGTTCTTCTTGTTATTTCCACATCAAGAAACGGAATTTTTGATTCGTTTTCCATTTGAAGAGTGAATTTTATCGCTGGATGGCAACAGTTAAATATCTTCAGCAGTAGATTGGGGTCATTGCTGTTGTCACAAATAATGAGTAAATCGTCTGCGTATCTTTTATACAGTCGCAAATTGTCAACGCTTGGCTTTAGTGGACCTCTCTCTAGGCTTGCCACGAAGCAATCTGATAGTAGTGGACCCAACGGAGATCTCATTGCAATACCATCTTTTTGTCTGTAGATGGTGTCGTTGAAAGTGAACTGGACCTTAAGAGTGCATCTCAATAGTAATTCCTTCAAATATGTTGTTGGTATTCCAATATTGAGAGGGTTGTCATCTATATATTTGCATATGAAACAGACCGTTTCCGTGAGTGGGACATTGGTGAAAAGTGACTCAATGTCGAAGGACAGCATAATTTTGTTAGATACATTCATGTATTGTATGCAGTCGATGAACTGGAAGGTGTCACAGAGCGAGTGCGTACATAATTGTTTCCTTACAGGTTCCAGAATATCTGCTAGCCATTTTGCAAAAGAGTGGTAAGGGGTACCTGACATATCCAGAATTGGACGAAGTGGGAGACCAACCTTGTATACCTTTGGCAGACCACAATGTCCAAATTATGCAAATATAATAATTTTATTGTTTGTTTTAACTATTTTATTTACTTTTTGACTTTTTTTAGTCATGGGAAACAAAAAGAATTCAGTGCTACAGGAATCCGCCTAGCACTGGATTATTTTGATAAACGTGGCCACAAGGATGTGGTTGTTGTAATACCTAGACATTATCAGGGAAAAGGTGGTCGTTACTTCCATGAACTTGAGCATTCAGGCAAACTGACGTATACGCCGTCACGAACACTGAATAGAGAAAGACAAACAGTATATGATGATCGGTAGGTTCCACTTTTTGTATTTAAAAAAAATACCTCTGTTAATTAGGATCATTGTTAAAATGTCTCCATATGTAAAATTTTCAGTACAGAGTGTTATGTATGAATATTATGATCTAGTAGACTACGAGCGAATCTAACTTAATGCGCTGGCTAATCTGTCCTAATCGCACATCGACAACAACAACAACAATAATACCGCCGGGCACGCAATACAAAGAAAGAAGACTGGACGTTGATACGAGAGCTTATACTGTCTCTACAACAGTCGGAAATGTTAAACCAAACCCCGTATTTATACAGTTAGGAAAATCAATGTCACATTTAAAAAATGTTGACAACCAATGGGAATTCAATCATGCAGGTGCGAGAAATAATTAATTTTGCAGGTGCGAAAAATCAATATTGATGAGTTACCAGTGTATATATCACTGAGTCGTATTGAGATACGATTTAAATGATACTATAATAATAATAATAATAATAATAATAATAATAATAATAAAGAATTGCAAGTTACCGAATATACTCATTGAGTTATGAAGAAAGCTTTCTTTACCGACGAAATCATCTCAATCAGAGGCTGTACAGTCCCATTTATATTTACCAAAACTGTATAGTAGTCCATTATTGAGTAGCTCCGGGGTGGTGGCGATTGATATAGCTAGTAACATCACACTGTGTGGTTAGGCAAAGGACAAACCAAGTCTATTCGCAGCGCTATTCTATCTCATCTTGCGGACACAGAACACAAGATTGACGTTAACCATGCTACCGCATACTTACGAATATCAATTTCGCCGATTTCGACTACTAAATATTGCTGAGGCTGGCTGGCTGTTGGGATCCATATTAACAAGCCTAATTTATGCATCCAAAAGAAGTTATCATTACCTTGGCCATCTAGGTTTGAATGATCATGAATTTTTGTGGAACTGTGTATCCAAAAGGAACACGTCCAGGCGCTGTTCCTACCGTGGCCAACCTTGGATTGAAGATTTTTCTTTTCACCAAGAGTGCTCCTTCCCCTTAACCCTCTTGGTTTTTTTTTCTTTTTACTTTGTTTATTATTATAAATATTATTATTACAGTTATTATTATTCGTCATAATTTGTGGAATTTTCCTAATTTTAGTTGATATTCTTTTCGCTACTATATCTTTATTATTATTATTATTATCATAATTTAAGCATCTTTAATGAACTGTAATTCCATTGATCTTACTTTACAAATTGATATAATTTAAAGAACACTAATATTGCTATTGACCACTAATCTAGAATATTCTATGTATATAAACATATATATAATTGCAGAGCCAGAAGAGGAATTTATCGAAAAGGACATTCTTTGCTCAATTATTTTGTGTATTATAGATGTCTGAATGAATACTTTAGCTATATTAGAAATTAGAGTCATAAATTATCTAATGCTCAACAACGGCACGAAGAAAGAAAGGATTAGTGATTTGATAAGGTAAAAATTCAAGTGTCGGTTTGCAGGGATTTGATTGGCTACAGGATTTAATCATGAGCTGACATCAATAAAAGAAACATTGGGAAACCACATGGGAGTACTACCAGACAGATGTTTCCGTCGTCCTAGTTTGGGACTCTGCTTCAGCAGTACGCACTCACCCACTGTGCGTGGTTCGAATCCACGATCTTCAGGGTTACAAGGCGTTGAGCTAGCGTCCCTACCCCGGAAAACCAATCAAACTGCTACAGAAACTTCAAGCACCATATCATTATCAGACTTTGTACTAGCAGTTGAATCTGTGTAGAACGTTACAGGAATTTACGAGACGTAATCGAGTAATAAAAAAAGAATGTTTGGTGAAAATTACTTTCATAATGGGTGTATATGTGTATAAGTGTTTGTTCGCTTAATGCCGTGTATAAGTTACTTTTAACACACTGATTGATGCAATCAGTTCAGTACGTACTTAAATTTGATGAGATTCCTTAGGTAACTTCTTTTTATTATTATTATTATTATTATTATTGATAAACATGTAGCAGTAGATGTTTTTGAATTTGTTTTGTTGTAATGCTGTAATCCGAAATCAATATACTGAAAATTATTAACTCACAATTATCATCTGATTTGCATGAATTAGCTTGTATTTGAAGGCGACTTTTTCGTTTACTTTCCGTCGGTGAATCTTTGTGTGAAAATAACAGATACACCCACCCTTTTATCAAAACAAAGCTTACTAAGGAAGGCATAGTGTGATGATGAATTGTTGCTTTGAACGCATAAAGGTGGTTTAAACATCATATAATTGTCAGCTAAGGGCTTCCACAAACTTTAGGATACGCCATCCTCCAAGCGCGTTTTATAGATGAGTTTGAAAGACATGTGGGAACATTAATAACATCGTCCTGTCTCTATAACATGCTTCGCAATAGAGGAGCTAGATTCTCGTCGTCTATTCTCACCATTATTGGGTTCTGGGGATTCAATTTGTTTCTGAAGTCATTTGGAATATTATCTAAAGCACTTACTTGCAGAGGGCGATGAGCCCTCCCTATGTATATGTGGCCACACGTACATTCAAACCGGTAGATACAGTGGGCTGTTACACCGTTTCTCACCTGTTGTAAGGATTTACATGGATACATGAGCTTCACAATCTCAATTATTCCGAACTCAGCTGCAGAAAAAGTCTTTTAAACCGCAGTGTTCAATCTTTGTTGAGTTACCAAGCTGCTGTGATCACTCATTTGTTGCAGAGCAACTTGATATATTCGTCTATCCTAGTGGAGAGTTGATGAGCGGGTTTGGTGTTCCGATGACCACTGTATATAGTATCACCTTATCAACTTGTCTGGATAATTATTATCAAACAGAGTTTGTGTCAGTCTTGTCTCTCTTCATCATCAAGTGTGTTTTCTGTGAATTCACGTTGGATACTACTGAAGAGGACGAGGAGTGAGGAGGCACCTCACTCACTAAGGCATTTTTCTAGTGAACACGACAGAAACTGTGTTAATTAAGATATTGTCCTGTCCAGGTAGGTTTTTTATAAACAGTTCGTCTTATTGATCCATTAGACTGTCCATTGACTAGTCAAATATATCTAGGATAGATAGACAATTATCTTTCTGTTCTACAGACATAAGTGATATGCTATTCTGAACCTCATTTATTCGATTTAAAATTCAGTTGGCAGACCAAGGCTTGTCCCTTATGAATACAAGGTTGTTGGCATATCTTCCATAAAGCTGTACATTTTCGATTAAATCTTGTGATCAACTCTCAGTGTATAACATATAGATATATCTGTTAAAAGAGGTTCTAATGGGCTTGCCATAGCAACATCATCTATCTCACGGAAACAATCACCTTCAAACATTACTAGTACATAAATAAATTCTTTAAATAAGATAAAGGGAATGATGGAATTAGAAAATCACGTGTGGATATGTAATCACACGAAATGTCAATTGTTTTAACTAAAAGTAATAATAATAATAATAATAATAATAATAATAATAATAATAATAAGTGAATAAAGTGTTTACATCAAAAGGAATGCATATTTTTATTTATAATAATGAATACCATTAGGGTAATTAATCAGCCAGCCAGTCCACACCTCCCTACATGATTGACTGGCTTAAACTAACTGTTGTGATGGCTTTGATTGACTGTTCAAGCCGGTCATACTTTTTATGTGTCATATTTTGGTGTGCCCACTATGACATGCTGTCAAGATAGCTCTTTTCCAACCTGATCCTCCCATCCATCCTATTTCAGTCAAGCTAACATTAGCCATTGGTCAAAGAAGGTGATCGATGGCTAGGCTGATAGATGGACAGACAGACAGGCATGCATGTGTAACACATGTAACTATTCCACACAATCGATGTAACTTGGCAATCTTGTTGATTGACTTTCTCACTCCCACCACTTTGGCTAGCGCTCGACTGATGCCTCACCAATTGAATATTACTCACTCTATTAGACCATTTAAGTTAACACGGGATGTAGATAGAATGGAGACAGTAATGATGAAAGACAGCCAGCCAGCCTTTTCATTATGATTCTGTATTGTAGCTGTAAAGCTGATGACATCAGTTATGTTCGCCTGTACTTCAAGTGAAACTAACATATCATACCATTTTAATTGGAGGATGGCGACTAGCAGTGGAATTCAGGATGCACATCTGGTTGTACTTGCATTGCGCAGTGAATGATGTTCCCAATGAGGTTTGAACTCAGTGCCCATAGTTTCAAGCGCCGTAGCGTTATCCACTAGACCAATTGGGCCACCGGAGCCACATCTTGTGCGATGGGACCTAGGTGCTCGGTCCAATCAATCGACTAAGATTAAACTAAATATCATACGTATACAATTGGTGGATGGTGGCTAGCAGTGGAATCCAGGATGCGCATTTCGTCCTAATTGGGACTCGTCAGCTGGATGTACCTGCATTTCTCAGTGAGTGATGATGTTCCCACCGAGGCTCGAACCCAGTGCCCATAGTTTCAAACGCCAAAGCGTTATCCACTAGACCACTTGGGCCACGAGAGCCACCTCTTGTGCAACGGGTCATATATTAATTATTGAATTGAATTTTTTTGTTTTTTTGATTTTCCCGTCGATTGATTGGACCGAAGTGCTCGGTCTCAGGTTGACATGTCGGCTTCTTGTGCAGATGCCTCGACAATGTCTGGGCATTTAATTAGTATACAATTGGTGGATGGTGGCTAGCAGTGAAATCCAGGATGCGCATTTCGTCCTAATTGGGACTCGTCAGCTGGATGTACCTGCATTTCTCAGTGAGTGATGATGTTCCCACTGAGACTCATACGATTGTTGCCAAGCTGCCAATATTTTTTAAAAGTTATTTATCCCACCTCGATGATCTAATCATCTTATATTATTGAAGCATGTTTGTGCTCACAGTATCAGAAAGAAAAGTGGTGGAAAATTAGGTGAACTGGGCTTCTCTGTCTAAGTGTTCAGCAGTTCAAGTTGTCACAAGAGACGGAGCCCAGATATAACTGTCATTTCATGAGCGAGTTGTATACCATCGGTCTAGTGTCACTCCACGACGATAATCTGCCCTCATACCAATAAATTTGCGACCTGAATATAAATCCACTGATTATTATTGATCAGCTGTGACAGGGAGTTAAGTGGTAGAGCACGTTGACCGCTTCTCTTGTTTGGGAAGTACCATCAGCCAGTGTCAACGGGTTGATCTCTGACGAAATCTCAGAATGGATACAGAGGGCTAGTTTCGCATATACCCGCCAGTTTACGCCGTCTCTGGCGTAGACGTGATATCCGGCTGGTTATCGGCCAAAGGACGTGTGTAATGCTCATCAGTCCGCTCCATCCTCCTTTATGGCTAGTTGTGAGACCTGGCCATTGAGAGTGGAAGACATGAAAAGATTAGCTGTCTTTGATCATAGGTGCCTGCGCTCTATATCCCGTGTGAAGTGGTATAATAAGGTGAGCAATATTGAGGTTAGGCATCGGTGGAGTGCTAGGTAGGTGGTGGGTGGTAGGGGAAATCAATCGACGAGGCTGTGAAATTACATCGACTGAGATGGTTAGGACATGTGCTACTCATGCATGACTAGTCATCGCCTTCCTCGACAACGGGCAATGTTAGTTGACATAGGATCAGACTGGAAAAGAGCTGGCGGCGATCAAACCAAAACATGGCACCAGTCAATGAAATCTCCAACAGTTAGTTTAAGTCAGCCACGTAGGAAGGTGTAGACTTCCTGGTTGGGGTCCTCGGGACGGTAAAAACCAGTGGCTCGTGACAATTGGTGATATGGCTCAAAATCGTTCTCAATGGCTGGTGCAGATGCATCCACTCCTTGTGACCTATGATTTCAAATGAAACTATATCGCTCTTCGTTATTACTATTTCTTTGTCTCACACCTCTGTTTACTGTCTCTATTATGCATTTCTTCTACTCTCTTCTCTTGCTTTGTGTATTACAAGGAGGGAGTGTGGTGACTTGAACTGGTGCACATCGGTGCAATGTTCTATGTCGAAAACAAGCAGGGACAGATTGATCAGCTGTGAAGTTTCAACTTGTGTGTTTACTCATAGTGAGTGTAGAACAGAGGTGTATTCACTGGTACTGTGGCGTGTGCTGCTGACAAGATTTATGGGTAATATGTAAAGAGACGTTCATTGGCACAAAAATATCTCAAAAGTAGTGAAGAGTTAGATTTGGCGTCAAACTGAGAGAGCAAATGAACCAACCGGTGTATTGCGGCAAAACACGAGAGACACGATAAAAAGCTCTATCTTGAAGCCGTATTTTCCACACGGAACGCAAAGGAATACAATAAAAGGAGGAATATTGAATTTTAAGAGGTGACATCAGCCCTAATCCCATTGGTGGTTGAAGAAATTTCAGAGTGAACGTAACATACTCATATGTCATTCACCAACTGGCTCCATCTTTATCGCAGGTGTGATATGTAGTTGACCCATTAATGACCAGTGTGTTAGTTGTAGTAGGATTAAATTGGAAAACAGTTGGGTGCGATCGCATATATATATATATGACCCCAAACCATGAAGTCTTTGACTGTTAGCTTGAGCAATATAGATCAAAAAATAAGAATGCAGTACACTGTATGTAAGAGGAAGTTGTCCACTTCATTTTACACATCCATCTTTATTCTTCACCCTTATTCTTTCCTGGGTTGCCTAAAAAGACTATGTCATACTTCTTAGTATTCTGAAAACCGTCAGTGGTGCGGGTGGTGGTATCCTATTTGGCCATAGCATTGACATCATCATTATCAACAGGCGCTTGATATCATGCAGCAAATTCGCTAAAAGGATTTTGTCAGACTTTAGGCACCCACCGTAGCACCGTTAGCTTTCACCTTGCATCTCCTTCCCAGGTAAAACAAGAAGTCATCCAATCAAAAGACTTAACTCGCTTAAATCTAAGTATAAAAATTTCATTATACCAATTTGGCATGTATTTTTTGTGGTGAAAGTAGTGTCAGGCATGAACTAAATTAACCTTCTTTCCACTAGTAAAAAAACAGTTTTCTCCACCCTTATACCAAAAAAGTGTTAGTGTTATTATTCATCTTATATTCATAGTCCCCCTTACATAATTGTATATACCATTATCAAGCTGAAACCAGTTTGGAAATCTTCCGCACTCAACATAAGGAACAAGACTCGCATTTTCAACACCAGTGTGAAGTTGGTTCTTCTATACGGGTCAGAAACTTGGCCAGCATGTCACAAAAAGGATTTCCAACAGGCGACTGCAGACTTACATCAACAGCTGCCTTCACTGGTTCCATACTGAAGATCAAACGGCCAGAAAGAGTAAGCCACAAGAAATTGTAGGAACAAACCAACCAATAGCCGATCGCTCAACAAATATACAGAAAAAAGTGAAGATGGATCGGGAGGAGGCCGCCGAATGACATCGTACGCAATGCAGGTCATCGCTCGAGGTGGGTCGTCAGTGCGAGAGTGACATGGAGGAAATTGTGAGGAAGAGATGGAAGAGTTTGGTCAATCCTGGAGTAAGCCGAAAAGTACCACAGAAAACAGAAAAAAGTGGAGATGTGTTGTTGAAGCCCTGTGTTGCACTTGGGACGCAAGGGAATAATAATAATATCATTATAATAATATAGGCTCTGTAATAAATTTTACTTTTTAATTTTCCCCTCTCCATTTTATGTGGAGAGAACATTATATTCAATATTCTGTAATATGCTAAGACTTTCGTACTGTATGAACAATACTGTTTGAAATAAGCGTACTGTTTTTATTACCATTATTGTTATTATTATTATTATTCGCGTTATTATTCTCATGCTACACTTTGCACATTTTGACATTATTTAGCACTGTAAATCGTGAAAAGTTCCTGTGGTTAATTTTATTTATATTTTGAGTAAATTAGACTATTACAATTATTATTTTCTTTTTTCCAAACTGTCTATTTCTACACGTATAGCATTATATTGCAACTGGCAGCTGACAAAGATGCAGTCATCATATCCAATGATCAGTATCGTGACCTGATGTCTGAAAATGCTAAATTTAAAGAACTCATTGAGACCAGGTTAGTACTTTTTTTTTTAATTATAAGAGTTTATTTTATTTGTGTTTTTATTATTCAATGAATCAATGATGACGTTATTAGGTCATTGGACATTCAACAATACGCCACTGTTTAGTCTCCTAAGGAATCCCAATTCATATTCCCAGCATTAAACATGTCAGAATGCATAACAACACCGCATCACTTAGCTTGTAACGACAAAAGACAAGGGCTAGGCAACAGATCGTATTTTGAGAAAATCAAGAGATAATTATAGATTTTTATGTACATTATTGTCAGCGGAGAAGCAACGTATTCTGATTGGCTGTTTTCTTGCTGAAGGTTATTCTGTTATCTCTTTGTGACCGTTTCCAAGAAAGTTAAGTCATATACCTGCGATCTTATTTGCACACGTTAAGTTTGCTGTGATTGGTCAGTGAGTTCTTCCAAGTTAAGCTTGGTTATTGTTTTTCCCATGACCCCGATTTGGGACGTAGCGTTGACGTAAATTGTTGTCTGCAGTTTTGACTTGCAGCTAGCTCCAACCACAATATTAACTGTAATTCTCTTCTGTAAGAGTCGATAAAGGTCGAAATGTAAGTAGTGTGATGTCGCACTTTGCACAACGAACAGAATTTGAAACCTCCTCCACTCCGGTGTACAGTCAGCGCTTCTACGTAGTTCAGAGACTTGAAACTTCTGTCGACAAAAGCATACCAAACAGCCTACTGAAATCAGTCACTGATCAGTGATTTTCTCGCCTGACACTAAGCATCTTATGGAGAAGGCCAGAGAAAATAAGAAACAAGAAACCCAGTCAGACGGTTAGCCAACCAACATCCTAATACCTGGCACATATTCAGAAGGAAACAGAGATGTGTTAGGAAAACTTTGTACGAGGACTTCCATGTAACATCACACCCCAGACCGAGCGTCAGGTGGAAGCTGACAGTTTGAGTGTCCGAGAGTAACGTGAAGCTGTGAAAGTTGACACCAGAGAGTAGAGTGAGATGGAGGTGTGCTGCTGGAGTCTTTTGTTTGTCATTCATTGGGAAATACAAAAAACCTTTATTATAAGTAGTCAGTATTCAAGTGTTGGTTTGCAGGGATTTGGTTGGTTACAGAATTTCATCATGAGCTGATATCGGTAAGGAAACCATTGGAAAACTAATTGAGAGTACTTCCAGACAGCTGTTTTGTCTACCTAGTTTGGGAATCCGCTTCAGCAGTACACACCCACCACAATAGTTCGGAATCACGATCTTCCGGTTACACGGCGAGCGAGCTCGTAGACCATTAAGTCACTGGGACCTGCCGATCCAATGGCCAGTCAGTCCGTGAGTTCCAACTTCTGTCAGTTGACGACACAGCCAAAAGGTCCTGGGTTCTAACTTTGTCTGTGGATGTGTGCTGGTAAAGAGTCCCAAATTAGGTGTCTGTGTGGTGAGAGCAGGCTGCTAGCCGATTGGTTGGCACTAATCTACGTTAAGGTCTAGGTCACTAATATGGGCCGTGAGAAAATATGAACAAGCCTGAGTAAACAACCAATCAGAAGCCTGCGTTTGTCTACCTAAACAACCAATCAGATGACTGCGCTTGTCTATAATAATGTAGTTGAAAGATGTATAAATACGTGTTGATTTTCATAATAAAACGATCTGTTGCCTGGCCCTTGTCCTCTGTTGTTACATTTGGTGTCGCTGCCTACCGACAAATGACAAGCCGATACCCTGCAGTTTTTGATGGAGACATATGGATCTTCGGGCAGGACTTCAAGGCTTCTGCGCAGTTGAGTGGCGTTCAAGATCTGTCAGCGATGGAGCTGCTACTTGAGATGCTGCTGGGAGGTCGGGCGAAAGCAGCATATGAAGGTGTGGGCCGAAGTATGGACGAATGTTCGACAGGGTCAGGCAAACAGTTTCCAAAGTGGGAAGGACCATATATGGTCACTTTGAGATGGGGTTACGCAGACACAGTCGCAATGACGAACAATGAGAGGCGCGTGAACGTCAGCGAGCTCCAGAAATGGATACAGCGAGACAAGCCAACGATGACGCCTGCACCAAGTAGATCAAGCCGACATCAGTCGCACGTATTTGACGGGGGGACGAGTGTGGTGAGAGCAGGCTGCTAGCCGATTGGTTGGCACTAATCTACGTTAAGGTCTAGGTCACTAATATGGGCCGTGAGAAAATATGAACAAGCCTGAGTAAACAACCAATCAGAAGCCTGCGTTTGTCTACCTAAACAACCAATCAGATGACTGCGCTTGTCTATAATAATGTAGTTGAAAGATGTATAAATACGTGTTGATTTTCATAATAAAACGATCTGTTGCCTGGCCCTTGTCCTCTGTTGTTACATCTGAAAGTACCCGCAACTGGCCTATCAATGGTTCTGATATGTATCCACATATATATATTTATGTGTGTGTGTGTGTGCATGTTGGTCTCTCTTTCTGTTTGCTCGGTTAGTCTGTGACCACTTCACTTGTATGGACTTGTCTCCTTTAATAATGTGTATTCTCCTTATATTATATTATATATAATATGAGTGTTTGTTGACAGTCCGTTGCTTGGTGACATATATCCATATATGTTTATTGGCATGTCTGCTATATTCGCTATGTATAATTGGATCGACACTCCATTATAATTAGCCATTCATGTTAAGACTGTCTAATGATTTTTCCCACGCTTGTCTGAATTATTTATATATATTCGCATTCACAATTTGTGTGAACTACTTTACTTTACAACTACTTGACTTGCTTACCACTTTGGTGTGAGACCATTTATTTTCGTCTCCTTGTGTTTGGACAATAGAAGTATCATCGCAAACCTAGTGGTCTTCTGATTTCCGCCTTCTCGCGTCAGGACTATTAGTTTCTCGACCAGTCCATAACAATAATTTAGCGACGAGTACATAACAATTTGGCGACGGGGAACTAGTACATAACAGGTTCTCTAACCGATGCCAGTTCCCGATGAGATCCTTTAAGTAGTCAGTGTATTATTTTCACATTTCATGGCAACAAAATAGGGTAGCTAAACTAGAAGAAATACATTTCCGAATTTATGTACATGTCAATGGCATACACACCAATGCTCAGAGATACTGAAAGCGACTGTGAAAGACAAAACTCCTGTACACTTACAATCATTCTTATTGTCGTTATTTTCAACCTTGAACTTATGTCTAGACCGCTCCATTCGTTGGTTTATTCTCATATTGTCTCACACACCCTGACTACACTCACTCTCGAAACCTGTATTTTCTGTTGACTATATTTATATACATACACACACACATCATTAAATTAAATTACTTCATCGCATTTTGTCCCATGTTCTCATTAACCATGCATATTAAAAAAACAAACTATCTGACCATTGTTTTATCCCATCTGATACCTGCTCCACAATACACTTTCTGATATAATTCTAATTTGCCTTTACTGGCTGGCTATTGTATGCTTAAATTAATGGATTTATAATTGTAGAGCCTGAGGAGGGAAGAATTTATTGAAACCACAATTGTTCGCTCTAAATACTTAGTTCTGAATAAATTATGGGAATATTTAATTTACTGAAATATTCACTTTTTCATGAGATCCTCATTTGTGACTCCACTCTAATAAACACAGTTTTTTTTTTCAAGTGTTGGTTTGTAGGGATTTGATTGGTTTGAGGATTTCATCATGAGCTGACATTAGTTAGAGAACCACTGGAAAACAAGCTGGGAGTACTGGACATATGTTTCGTTCTAGTTTGGGACTCTTCAGCAGTACGCACCCACCGGGATTTGAACCCAGAACCTTCCGGTTACAAGGCGAGCTCGTATACCATTAAGCCACTGAGACCCGATCCAATGGTCCTTGAATTCTAACTTCTGCCAATTCTAGACATAGCGCAACCGCTAGCCAATGTCTTCGGCGAGTATTTGTCCTCACACCCGACCCGCTGCACCCTACTGGTCACGACTTCCCACTGGAACCCAGGTAACTACTCACCTGAATAGGGCCAGTCGCCAGTGAGCATCTCATTGGTATTTTTTTTTACTACAACAGACAACATTTTTACCAATCAAGTGGCATTGATATGTTTGTTAACAATAATTAGCCAGTATCAACTTTTCAAGGGGTTGATAATTAACGAAGAAAATTAACACACGCACAGTGGTTAGGACTCTCGCCGACCATGCACATGGTTCGGGGTTCTCGCCCGCACCGACGCACACCTGATATCAATGGTCGGCCTGCAAAATTTGGGCTACCGATATCCATGCTGAAAATTCCATACTTGTACCAAAAATACAGTGTGGAATCAAGCTGTAAATCAAAAAATAAATAAATAAAAGGGCAGAAATGCTTACGACAATTGGATTGTGTAATGCATAATGTTGAAAAGATGAACAGTAATTAAGGAATAAGCCAGTATTCAAGTTGATTACATAATAGATAATTAGCGAAAAAATCAAACAAATTTGTAATTAAAGATGAAGTAGCCAGAATAAATAATAATAAAGTAATTTTAAAAGGCTTAGTGTGTAGGTGAGTTAGTCCAGCTTATACATTTATGTAACGATGGCAAAAGTAAGGAAAGTGGCTGCACGAATTTTTTTCTGAACACACAGGTTTAGCTTTTGCCAGTGGATTCCTATGGTTTTAGCTGTATGTTGAAGACCAATTCGTGAAGCAAAATTAAGATGAAGAGGAATGAGATAAATAACTGATAATACTGTATTAGCATCAACTTTATGCTCACTATCTATAAGGTGTAGTAAAACACAGCTGCGAATAAATCTTGTTTGTCCCTTGCTTAACTGCTATGCAAGATGATGTTCGGAAATACGATAATGAACCTGCCTAAAATCGTACTACTCTAGATGGCTCTGCAGCTGCGGTAGCACTGATAGATCCACGTAGAGGAGGTGAAAGCAAGTAGTTTGTCCTTATTTTCAAGTATTGGTTTTGCAGGGATTTTGTTTGATTGCATGGAGGATTTCATCATCAGCTGACATCAGTTAGAGAACCACTGGAAGACCTGGGAGTACTGGACAGCTATTTCGTCCTGGTTTTTGGGAACCTTCAGCAGCACGCACTCACCGGGGTTCGTAACCCAGGACCTCGTTACAAGGCGAGCTCGTAGACCATTGAGCCACTGAGACCCGATCCAATGGTCCTTGAAATGAAATGCTCCATGCAATCAAACAAAATCCCTACAAAACCAATAGTTCAAAATTCATCTACGCTCACTGGTGACTGGCCCTATTCAGGCAGTTAACCTGGAGTTCTAGTGGGAAGCCGTGACCAGTAGGGTACAGCAGGTTGAAGATGAGGCAGTAACCCATCGAAGAAGACATTGCGAAGTGGTTGCGCTATGTCGTGAATTGGCAGAATTCAAGGACCATTGGATCGGATTCCAATGGCTCAATGGTATACGAGCTCGCCTTGTAACAAGAAGGAGGTCCTGGGTTCGAACCCCAGTGAGTGCGTGCTGCTGAAGGTCCTCAAAAACTTGGACAAAACAGCTGTCCAGTACTCCTAGGTTTTCCAGTGGTTCTCTAACTGATGTCAGCTGATGATGAAATCCTCCATGTAATTGTCCTTTTTTATCGGAAGTAAGATAGTGGTGGTTGTGAAGAGATAACGTAATCACCAAGAAATTCCCGTATTTTTTAAAAACTCCTTTTCGTTCCCACTGAAGCATAGGGCTTCAAGCTAGAGCTTTAAAGTTTCAGTAGCAGTGGTTTTATTTTCACGGGGTGGTATTGGTAGTCTCATGCCTAATCTTCCCTCTTTGCTGGGCTTATTACCATCTAGACGAGGTTTAGGAGTTTGTTTGTCGGAAATCAACTCACGGACCACGTGAGTGGCTGGTTAGCATTCTACTTCTGTGCCACCGAAGCAGGAGGTTTTCATGACTTTAAAATTTTAAAATCCAGTATTCAATTGAAATTTTTCTAACATTGGAAACTTGTTCACAACTCCTACTCACCGTGCTGGATGATAAATAATAGTAGTAATAGATTTATACTGAAACAATATTTATATAATGTCCAGAATTTTCATAAGAGTTTACTGCATGCCATTTCCGCCTCGTCCAGGATCTTCAAATTGACTGACAGTTGATTGTGTGACACAGTCCTGAAGCGCAAACCACAGTCCATCATATGTGATATCTCTTCTTTTTCTCCTTCGAGAAATACACGATGGTATTTTGTTGAATAGACTTTGTGAACCTCAGGACACCACTGAGGGAACGGTCATCTCCTGTACTGGGTTAAGCTACTATCCACCGAAGTAATGCTTTTTCCTTTTTATGTTCAGTAGAAACTTGTGGATGAGTAGTAGGTTTTAAGCGTTTTACATACTCGCCAGTTGAGTAAACAATGCTATTAGAGGTCATACTCTACTAGATTCAAACAAACTGAATAAGGGAAACTCTATACTATAAATTGATGTAGGTTGTTTTCGGTAGCCCAAGTTTTAAGCAGGCCGCCTAATGCTTGCCAATCAATAGGTTGTAGCAGCGGTCTTTGCATATACTTCCCCATCCGCCACCCCACCCCACCCCCCGTTAAATCAGCCAACTGCATTGTGTTATTTGTTTAATTACATTAACTTTATCTAGATACTGTTGGTTTTCTTTTCTTTTAGACTGCTTCCATATGTAATGTCAGGTAATACATTCCTGCTTCCAGAAGATCCATATGGTCGTAAAGGTCCATCTTTGGATATGTGCTTATCCATGTCAGATTCAACACAATTATCCTAATATAAAACTGGTACATATTTTGTATCATTTTTGTTGTTGTTGTTGTGTGTTTGTTTTCTATGCTATCCTCTCTTTATCATATAATTTGTTTTTGTTATTAGTAAAGAGAGGTGGCGATAAATTCAATATATATATATATATATATAGATTCACTATTATTGACTGGTTCACTGTGTGTGTGTGTGTGTCTTTCCAAGAGAGTTCATTAAATCAACCATTAAATTGTATAATTTTATTTTGTTAAGTGTTCCTTAAAGAGTTATTCGTCTGTCATCTTATATATTGTGACTACTGCTGCTATTCTTATAAATTTGCCAACATCACTCTCCCTCTCTTCGTCTGTCTATCTGTCTTTTGACTGCGTACTACACAAATCTGTGCCAGATGGCGTGTTCGACTGCACTGAACATTACATACGATAATATGAATTAGTTTTAACTAATCCTAACACTTACCAATCACCTTTATCAACCATGAATATATATATAACAAGATGAGATTGCAATATGTGTATATAGTTGGCATGATAGTAACTGCAGTCATTGGAAAAGATTCGGTGAGAACTGCAAAAATGGGAGTTTTTAAACGGTTACCGGTGAGGTTGCATAACAGTATCATTCTACTAAACTGAAATATCAATCTTTGCTTCTTTGAAACTCGAGGTTTCTGAAAAAGACAGTTGAGAGTAGGTAATGCACTAGTTTTTCTGTTTGTTTGTTTTTTTTTTTTGTTTTTTTGGTAGACGATTAATAATCAGGTGGAATGTGAGAGCTATTTTGTGTGTGTGTGTGTGAAGAAATTTTCGATTTCGCATCTTTGTAAATTGTTTACCTATGTTCCCAATATTATTACATGTCTCTTGTTGCAAAGTGTTAACTCTAACTGTTCATGTAAAAATTGCTATCATGTATTTGTTACAAGAGAGAGTAATTTTAACTCTATTTTAGGTTGTTGTTAAACCATTACTGAATACACATATATAATGTTGTCAGTTATAAACAAATAGTGTTATTTTTTTGTTGTGTTTTCAAGGCGATTTCTGTAGCCAGCACAGTCTACGCATCACCTTGGGAATGAATTGAATTATACCGACAAAGTAAATGCAACAGTTTAAAGTGGGGCATCGTTACCATTTCCCTAGTGAAATTCACTAACAATTACTTGCCTTCATTGTGATAGTTCTGGCGAAATAAATAGGATATTAGATGGTTGGAGGCAACCGGCCACAGGAACCCTTTAGTCGTGCTGGCAAAGCGTATCTGAAACCTTGGAAAAAGTGTGATTCGAACCCGCGTCACCCAGTTAGTGCTGCAGTCAGAGACGTCACCATTAGAATGGCGGCCACAGTCTGCAGCGAAGAAACGACTAGACACATTACACTAGTTATTAACTAGTGTTCAATCAAACTAGGTAGGAACACACAAATGTTATCAAAATATGACTTACAAATAGTCTGTTAGAAATTAGCCTGCTGTGTTACAGCATTTAGAGACAGGAAGATGTGGAATAGACACCTTAATATGGCAGGTACAAAAAAGTGAACTTATTCTGCTCTGGAATCAGAGACACAAAATGAGTTTTCTGCCTGTTGTGAATCACTTGACTTGCATGAGAGTCATATACATGTTGAACAAGGTGTATAAAATTTTTGACATACCACTCCTTAGTGTTGAAGCGATTTCTACGTGACTTCACTGTCGAAGGACTCGTCAAAGTCGGTGGAGTTCGGGTAGAGGGTTGACTACCACCATTCTACGTTCTACTCGACTAGGATGCTTAGCGCTGTAATGTGATCTTCACATGTTTCGCTTTCCCTAAATCCAGCTTGTTCTATGTGGAATTTTTGCATCCAGAGTAACTTGTAATCTATCTAGGATGACGCGACTTGATATTTCAATTTCCGTAGCTAGCAGTGTGCCTCCAAGCTACTCTTTGCAGAGGCTGTAGTCTCCCTTTTTTTGGTAGTTTGACACAGTGTTTCTTCGTGCAGTCAGTAGGCAGCATTGCTCCCTCCAGACGTTCTGTAATAGTGACGTGAGGTCTCTGTATCAGCTTTCAATGCTTCCTGTGGTATTCCGTTTTATCTTGTCGCCTCGCAGCTTTCAGAAATTTTATGCTATTCAAACCTGCTTTTGTCAGAGGGTTGGTGATTACTGGGAGTTTTCTGGTGGTATTTCTGGACGAATATTTGGTGATGGTCGGTTCAAGAGTCGCTTGAGGTGATCGGTTCAGCATTTCCTTTGCTTCTCCCCGGTGTCAATTAGGTAGTCTTCACTGTTTTTCATTAGTGTAATCAGTACTGAGCTCTTCCTGGGTGAAATGTTCTGAGGTCGCTTATGACTGCTCCCTGTTCTGCTTCAGTTGACAGTATATCGTAGAATTGTCTTTTTTTACACTCTTCAGTTCTCTATTCAGTGCGTCGTACATTGATCTTAGCCTCTCATTTCGTTGTTCATCTTCTGATTTACCACCTCCCCCTCCTCTATTAGTTGCCAGGTGTCCATAGAGAGCCATTTTTTGTTTTGCCTCTTCTTCCTTCCTAAGACAGCTGTACAGGTTTCCCCTAATACCGCTTTCACAAACTTCCAGTATTCTTCCACACAGGTTACCTCCGTAATAATACATAATATCTTCGACTTCCCTCTGATATCTGCAGTGTAAGGTATCCCTTGTATTTTCATCCCTCACTTTCTGAATGTTGAATTTGAATTGTGATCTATCTCTGGCTCTTTAGAAGCTTTTAAACTTAATAGGGAGGTTTCTTTGCTTTATATAATAGTATGAGCTTACATCTGTTCCTTTTCTCGGTTTTCTGTCCAGCAGACTGCTTCTCCACTTTCTTGAAATTGCGATGAAGTTTATCTGATTTTTGCTGTGACTTTCAGGTGCAACACATGTCACCTTGTCTATGTCTTTTGCTTTTACACGCTGCCTGCAATTGGTGGATGTTCTCCTCCCATGTTGCCTGCTCCCAGTGTGGCTGGTATTCATGTCACCCATTAGGATTTTGTTTTCACAGTTTTTTGATCTTTTCTTCTACTGTGTTCAGTTTTCTGGAGAAGCCCTCTTTCTCTTGTGCTGAGTTGTTTGTAGACGTGTAGCATTGAATAATTGTAGCTTTCATTCCTTTTCAGTTGGATCTTGCTGTCATTACTCTGGTTAGAGATTGCTTCCCACTTCATAAGAGCCTTAGATGCTGTCGGCGATGTCATTATACCCAATCCATTGGTGCGCTCCTGATTGTCCTTGGGTGACTGGAGTATGTTATTGACTCCGCTTCTATTCCACCTGCTCTCATAGATTCCGAGCACTTCTATGCCGTATCTTCTCGTTTTCTGACAAGTTGAGCAGGCTTCTCAGTCCCTTACATTGTGCGAACATCCCATGTCCCTATGTTTTTTTCCGCTTTTATCTGAAGAAGACACGTTGGTTGACTGGCTTTCCGAATGCTTTACCAGCCGGCATCGTTTCGTCTCATTTCAGCGACGAATAGGTTTATTTTTTGTATGTATTGAATGTCCTTTTTACGACTGGATTGATATTTTGGGGTTTCGTTTGACCCACATCCGGCCTGCACTCTGTTTCTGGGCAATGTTGTAGGCTGTCGTAGGGCCAGGTAAATCAGACTGCAGAAAACAGACTGAATCGTCAATGTGCTGCAGAAGCTGTGTTCCCCATTCAGAGCACAAAGGGAACAATCATAATGTGATGTAACCTTGTCTTCTTAGCCTGCATTATTAAAAGGTAACATGCAGAATGTCACATATACCATATTTGCTTATTTTCAAAAACGCAACTAACTTTGATGGGTTATTATTATTTATTATTATTGTCCCCTTGGGTTCCTAGTGGAAAATAGGGCTTCAACTGCACGTCTCCACTTGCTTCTGTCTTCTGCTCTACTTTTCACCTGCATCCATGTTATTCCATACTGTTTCAACTCCTCTTCACACGATCTCTTCCATGTCACCCTTGGACGTCCCACTCGCCGCTTCCCTTTTGGGTTCCACTCGAGGGTTACTAGTTAGTAACTAATTTCATCTGTCCAGTCTTTTGTTTGGTGCAGACATAATTCCACCAATCATATTTGAAATGTAGCTTGTCATCACGGTGCCCTCTGAATTAGTATTGGATGGTTAGAGGCAGGAAGATCTGGACCTAGGTTTCGTGCTAGTCGGCACTTACCACACAATAAGGTATACCTGCAATCCGGAAGGAACCCGTGTCTCCTCTGAGAATCTGAGCCACATCAACCACAGCTGCAGGTAGAGGAGAAATGAGCTCCTACAATATTGCAGATATACCTTACTGACAAATGCCAATAAGCACGAAAACCAGGTTGAGCAAGGCTTCCTGTCAAATGCTCCCAATCACCTTATATATCTAACTCCATACACAATTATTATTTTGCGTCTTCAGCTTATTAATTGACAAATGTAAAAACTCGTGACGAAGTATTCAAGGGATAGTTTACCAACAAAGCAACCTTACAAGATTTTATTATGAACTAATATCGGTTAGAAAATCATTGGAAAACTAATTGGGAGTACTCCCAGACAGCTATTTCGTCTGTCTAGTTTGGGAGTTTCCAGCAGTACACATCAACCCCACCTGGGTTCAATCGCACGACGTCCCAGTTACAAAGTGAGCAAGCTTGTAGACCCTTAAGCCACTGAGCCTCATATATCCAATGGCCAATCAGCCCATGAATTCCAGCTTCTGCCGATTCACGACACAGCACGACCAGAAGCTGGAATTTTCGCGTCATTGGATTGGGTTCCAGTGGCTGAATGGTCTACTAGGTCGCTCGCTTTGTAGCCAGAAGGTCGTGGGTTCGAATCTTGGCGGTGGGTGCACACTGCTGAAGAGTCTCAAGCGCTAGATCAAAACGACTGTCTGGCAGTAGACCAGCTGGTTTTCCAATGGCTCTCTAACCGATGTCAGTTCATGGTGAAATCCTGTAATCAATCAAATTACATTCCAGCAAACCAAAACTTGAA